ACTTAAAGACATACCAGATTTAATAAAACGGGCATCTGATAAGACTAAACTCTGGTGTCGGGGATGCCCATTTGGATGATAAACCCATAAAGAAATCCAAGAAAATGCCAACTAGAAAGGTCAGGGTAGATGTTTCTGCTGCAGGGAGGGAAGGTGCTGGGATGGGACAGGCGACAGAAAAGGGGCCCCTGCAGGGCTGGCCAAGTTCTAGCTTTTGACCAGGGAAGGGGGCAGCGGGCAGTTACAAGGTGTCCGCCTTCCAATAATTCCTTTGTGTTATGTGGTTTTCTGGATGTTTTACTTCATAACAGGACCAAAAGGAAAACATGAAAGCATACTGAACAAAAACATAGGTGAATTCCTTTCAACTGTAGATGGGAAAACTGTGACTCCATATCCAGAGGCCATAAAAGACATACAAACTTTAAAACTTTCACAAGGCAAAAGACAAGCAAAACCAAGACAGACTGCTAGAAAGTACTTGTCACTTACATCACAGATAAAGCCAATCTCCCTAGCATCTAAAGAGCTCTTAAAAATGGAGAAAGTACCAAGAATCTGATAGAAAAAGTGAATTTTAAAAAAGGAAACCTTGAGTCCATGGTGATACTAAAACAACAAGCAAGAGGGCGTGTGCGTGCACGCGAGCACACGCACACAACGCAGGTCCACGGGGCTGGGGGTGCTCCTTAAAGAATGGCCGCTGATAAATACGAAGAGTGACCATTTAAACAACCGTTTTCAATGGATAGCAAAGCCACACCATTTCAAAGCATCCCCCTCTAGATGACGAATTAGCTACAAAGGGAATCTGGGCCTTCGCCATGGAGAGAACACCTCGATCAGCCTGCCACCAAGTGCCTTCTGGTGTGAAGCTAGAGGAACAGACCGCAGCTGTTAACAGTGCTCAACCTGAATCCAGTCACAAGGGGATAGACGACTCCAGAATCTGATCATCACACTGGCCTGGACTTTTCAAAAATTCTAAATAATAAAAATACAAAGGGCTACTATAAAAAATTGCCTGGAAGCTCGGTGCACATATCAAGGCTTTTTAAGTGGTGCTGTGGAGTGATGAAGCGGTGACCTACCATTTTGTTGGGAAATCCCTACTCGTCACTGACAAATCCTCACCGATTCCTGAGGGCCTGAGCCCACATTGCACACGCGGACTTCCTGAAAGGTCTCACCATGGCCCTCCCTCCACCCTTCACCTCCACCGCCCCTCTCCAAGGCTTCTCAAGAGCAGAGTCTTCAAATGATGGATGATTCACAGTATCATTGTAGGGATTCAGTGCATGGGCACTCCAAAAGAAAAGGACCAGAAAGCAGAAATAAAAGGTGGCCCCAGCCCCACCCCACCTCCCGTAATTACCGTTTCTGTTTTTGTCATTCCCCACGAGGGCCGCCTGCTTGTCTGTCTCAGATTCTGCCTCATTTTCATCCATGTTGTACTCATCATCTGATCCCAGCTTTTGCTGCTTTCTCCCTGTAAAATGAGCACAGAGCCTTGAAACTGAAGCTCCATCACCTGTCAATGCCGTGGGAACATGTGAGCCCAGGTGCGGGGTTACCCCAATCCTGGTTTAACAAGCAGATCCGTTTGCTTCCTCTCAGGAAATGACAGGGACTCA